CCCAGCAACTGGGAAAGGGGAGCCGGAGCTGCGCCGCACCGTGCTGCGCCGTAGCTTCTCTCACGTCCTGGCGGGGGCGCTGGATGATGACGCGACACGCAGAGGGGGCGCGGCGCACGGGCGGAGGCGGGGCACGCAGGTGACGAAGGCTAGGGTGGTGGAGCGCTGGGCGGTCAGCCTCCCTGACTGGCTGGTTTGGGCGTCTGGGCGGCGAAGGTAGGACTGCCTAACCCGGGCGGCACGTTGCCCCTCTCCAGCTAACTGCATTATAGCATGTCCCCCAGAACCTGGAGACCACCAGCCGGGCTTGCTTAGTGAAGATGCAGCCCCCCAGCGTTTAGGCCACTCGCGTCTCAGCCCGCTTCTCTGTCGCTGGAGAACGCCCGGGTTGAGCAGCTGGGAGAAGCAGGCCAGAGCCTTCTAGGGCCTTGGGCCCGGGGACCCAAGGAGGATGAGCTGGCTCTTTCCCCTAACCAAGAGCGCCTCCTCCTCCGCGGCTGGTTCTCCCGGTGGCCTCACCAGCCTCCAACAGCAGAAGCAGCGCTTGATCGAGTCCCTCCGGAACTCACACTCCAGGTGACTGGTCGCTGCTTCTTCGACAGGAGGGAAAAGTAGGGCGGGAGGGCGGGCTGGTCCCAATCACTCTCACGGCTCCACAGGCCGACTGCCCGCCAACTGCCTCCTTTTGATAGACTTTCTTTCATAGTGGGTCACACATCTGATCTTCCATTCCTACCTCATGTTTACTATTTTCCTCCGGAACCCCCCTGCCTCCTGCCCCACCACTGCTCAGCTCTTCTACTTCTGACTTGCTCATCCGTTTTGACACATCGCTGCTGACAGTAATCTCTTTCATATTCTATATCCGATACCCTTTAGTATTCCTGGTTTCCCCCCTAATCTTTCCCTATACCCACCTGATAACAGCTTTGGCAGAAGTGTTAAAGCACTGCAGTTGGCTAAGGGGAATTGTGAAGAGGAATCTCCAAGTTTCACAAAGAGGAAAATTGTTGCAATATCAAAGAAAAGGAAGCCGTAGTTTTTTCATCATTGAATTCTTTGAGCGATAGTCAGTCTTCTTGAGTCTCTAATTAAGAATTTACCCTGTTCCAATAACCTCTCCCCATCTTGCAACTGCTAGTGTCTGTACATTTTCACTTCCTTAATATTCTTGGCTCTACACTCAAAGATTGCCATGTATTCATCTCTGTTGCTTTGTTGTCTTCTTAAGAGTTTTCATTTTATCATGGTCAGATTAGAAATATTTTGCACTTCAAATTATTTCAACTGTTTTTATTTACTGTAGTCTGGTTTGCTATAGCCTTTTATACTGCAAATACCTGCGCCTCTAATGATTTTCAAAAATTAGAGCTGCCTGTTTTATGTCACGAGTTATACAATTATATTTTCCTAACAGTTTCACAGCATGTGTTTTATGTAAAGATGTCAACATGGTTAAATTCTAGTCCTTTTTAAGATCTTTTCATACATTTGAAAAACATAATGAGATAATAAAATTGAGTAATTCCTATTGAACAATTGAATTCCTATTGAATTGCCATTTTATCTGTTACACGTCAATATTTTTTCCAAGCAAGTAAATTATAACCTAGAATAGTAATAAATGTATTGTCAAAAGAAAAATTTACTGCAAAATTAGGTGGCATTCATTTTGGAAAATTAAACTCAAAGTTTTTACAAGTGTCACCCATTATAAGGGTAATGGCTAATGCTTTCATAAGGAAAGGCATGCTACACGGGAAAAACAAAACAGATTCATTTAACCAAAAATTTATGTTACATGGGAGCCTTAAGAAATGAATACCCAAAGACCCAGGGAAAACTGTCTTTTTATATTTAGGTTTGGTAAGGAATGGACAACCATGTAGAATTGTTATTTGACAGAAGTTTATGGCTTAATGGAAATAAATGAGGTGAAGAAACCTAGCAAGGCCTGTCCAGATTCTTCTTGGCACTTTGTGTAGCTTTCCTTCTTCTCAATATGGGTATAAGGAAGGACCCCTCTGGAATGAGGGTTTTCTGGGGAGAGGGTGGAGAAAGTGACCTTTGTAGGTTTTAACACTTGCTTTGGGGAATGGGAGATCTAGTTTCTTTGACCAGATTTGCAGAAGAGGAATTCTGATTTTTATGAATTCTCTGGGGGAGAAAGAAATAAGAACCTAGAGGTAGAAAAAAGTCAGGGAAACTTTGCTGCTGAGGTCTTCTAATTTCCTTAGCTCAATGTGATTACCTTGCCAAAGTGCCATACTTCGGAGTATCATTTTCTGAGCCACAAGACAAGTAAATCTTATTCTAAATTTTTTTAACACACAATATCTTTATTTTATTTTTATGTGGTGCTGAGGATCGAACCCAGTGCCTCACACATGCGAGGCAAGCACTTCATCACTGAGCTACAGCCCTAGCCCGGAGACTCATTTTTAACAAGCATAACAAATTTGTCCCCTTGAAGTTGTCACCTTGGAAGACTGAGTACTATACTAATCATACCACTGTAGAAATACTTTTTAGAATCATATCCTTGGAATTAATTGCAGTTAAGCCTTTGGTTTATTCTTAATGCTGGAAAATTTTTATTCTTTAAGGATAAAATTGAATTTTTAAAAACTCCAAATCCCTTGCTGCAAAGTCAGTAATTGATCTAAAATTTATTGAATTTTTGGTCACCCAAGTGAACTGAGGTGGTAAAGCAATAATTGTTCATCTAAGGAGTTCTAAAATTGGCCTTAAAGGATGAATGAATACCATGAATTGAATGCAGAAAGTATTCATTTATTATTTTTTGAGCCAGAAGTCTTGAACATGGGACATTACCTATATTTTGTAATATTATGAACATATAACTTTAAGTTTGTTTATAAAAATACTTGGAGTTTTATTTAATTGAAATATTTCACAATTTGTATAGCTTGTATAATTTACAAGTTATATTTGGATAATTCTGGGGACAATTAAGTAGATCATATGCTTCCAGTTTTCTAAGGAATGGTAAAATCCCAGAAAAAAAGCATGCCTTCTACCTACCTATTCTTGCTAAGTCCACCCTTTTAACTAATGACATACATATCTAGGATAGCCAGTGAAAATGATCAACCTGTGATATCTTAGAATATGTTGTTTGATTAGGCAAATTAGTAGGTAATCTTATATTTAAAGATTTTTGTACAGACACCATGATTGGTTAATCTGAAGTGCATTTTGTAAGTTAAAAGAATATTTTAAAATAGGTTGGTTTGTGTGTGTGTGTGTGTGTAATAAAAAAAATTTCTTGAGTGATAGATATCAATATCTTATTGCATGCTGCCTGCATCCCTTTAGTTTCACATTCTGAGGTTTTTGGTTTTTTTTTTGTTTTTTTGTTTTTAATTTTTTTCTGTAAGGTCAGAAGCTCTTCCTGAAGTATGTAGCTTTTTTTCCCCCTTCTGTTTTACTGAGTAACTTTTCCCCATCCCATTTTCTCATTTTCCATCCAACTCTTTATTTGAAAATCCCATCTCAACAAAGAATTTATTCAAGTTTCTTTCTCTAATGAATATAAACTCATTTTTATTTACCTTAATAGAATTTTACCTTCTCATCTTCCTCATGTTAGGTGGATTTTATAGATATCTCCTCATCTAGTCTCAGTGGGATGCAGGGCAAGTGGGATACTGTCATAGTAACAAAAAAAAAAAAGTTAACCAAGTATAATAACATGTTTAAGTCTGTATGGAAAGAGAAACTAAAAGGTAGGTAGGTTGGACTCAAGTACTATATTGTATATTTTGAGTTAATAATTATCATACTGTTAAATTTACCACTAAGATTTCTGACTTTATGTGCAGAACTAATCCTTCTATTTTCTTCTACCTCATAAAGTAGTTCACTTTGGAGACACTGTTGTTTTCCTATCCAAATCCATTTCCTTTGTCATCTGGAAAGAGCACCTGTTTTTATTCTATTTGATCCCTTGTGCAGGGCCTCACTTAGTAGAGATTGGGCTCTCTCAAGCCCAAGAGGTAAATAATGATTGTTTATGCCAATGTATGATGGTCTCAACTCCTCTCTGCCTAACTATGCAAGTAGGACTCTTGACCTAATCTTGGTCAGTATGAGTTGGAGAGGAGGTTAGCTGGAAGCTACTCAAAGCCTTGTCTGAATAATAAAAGAGATGTCTAGGAGAACAAAGAAATCTGAGGAAGAAATGTCTCTCCTGTTTGCTATTGTGTCACATGGGACTTTTGGAACCATTTGGATCTTGAGCTAAGATAAGGCTGACTATTGAATGTGGCAAAATGGAAGATAATATTTTGCTGCTAACTTAACTAACTTTGGAAACTCCCTTCCTCTACACTACTCATTTAAGATAAATAATTCTTCACTGTTAAAGTTACTTTTACCCTGGTTTTTATGTACTTGTAGTTAAAAATATCCCAGCTGTTAAATTCACTAATCTCAATATTTAAGGAGTCTTCAAAAAGTGAAGCTAAGGAGTAGTATTTCTCTGTATTATACTTGCAATCAGAAAAATTTAAAAACTGATGATCTTAATAGTGACTATTCCAACCATCTAGAGAGAAGAGTCTCTCTTCTCTCACAATATCTAAAGTTATTGGCTTCTTTATGAATTTCCTTATGTATAAATTTTATAACAACTTGTAGCAATGTTGTGAGTGGTAAATATTATTTATAATTAACTATGTAAATTCACAGTTATATAAAAAATAATCTTTGTTACCTTTTAACTTACAAATACTAGGCAAAGGACTTCTGTATTCTTTTAAATAATAATCACTTACATGATAATCCTATACTGTTTTTTATTTGTATTCAACAATAATATCTAATTTGGGGGTTAGGTTATTTATCAAAATTGTTTTTATTTGGGCTGGGGATGTGG